AGAAGTGGGTGTCGTCCGGACGCCGCGGTTCTACAACGTGCTGATCGACGGTACCGCCGCGCGGGGACGTCGGGAGGGGTTGCCGCTGTTGGGCGAGATGGAGACGAAGGGGATCATGCCAAACTGTGGTGACATATGGTGCTATCATTCACTGGCTTGGGAGGAAAGGTGATTTGATGAAGATTGAGAGCTTGCTTGGGGAGATGAAGGCGAGAGGGCTGTCCCCTCAACGTGCAGATTTCAAACACTGTGATTTCGCATTGTGCAAATGCCGGTCAGCGGCGTCATGGGCATTGGTTGTTCTGAACCAAATGGTTGCAAGCAGGTTTGACCCAGATGTCGTGCCACGCTCAATACTTTGATAGCAGCGCTTTTGTCGGGAAGGGGATGTTGAAGAGGCCCTGAAACTTTTGAGGGAGGCCATTAGGGAGGAGTTGGAACCGAATCAGTTAAGCTATACTCCTTTGATTCATGGCTTCTGCGTCAGAGGAGAGGCGATGGTTGCATCTGATTTGCTTGTGGCAAATGATTGGAAGAGGGCATACTCCGGACGTAGTTCACGTTAGAGCATTAATTCATGGCCTCGTTGTTTCTGGGCAGGTTAATAGCGCTTTTGATTGTCCGGGAGAAGATGATAGAGAGACAGGTGATGCCTGATGCTAATATATATAATGTGCTGATTAGTGGTCTGTAAGAAACGGATGCTTTCTGCAGCCAGAACCTTCTTGAAGAATGCTTGAGCAAAAAGTCCAGCCTGATAAATTTGTGTATACTACTCTGATTGGATTTGATTCATTAGGAGTGACAAACTCAGTGATGCGAGGAAAATATTCGAGTTCATGGAAGAAAAAAGGTGGCTGCCCTGATATTGTTGCCTACAATACTATGATAAAAGGATATTGTAAATTTGGAATGATGAATGAGGCGTGTTATGTGCATGAGCAGCATGAGAAGGTTGGGTGTATCCCAGATGAGTTTACTATACTACACTTATCGATGGCTACGCTAAAAAGGGCGACATAAAAGCAGCTCTTAGGTTTTTATGTGATATGATGAAGCGAAGATGCAAGCCAAATGTTGTTACATCGCATCACTAATATGTGGATACTGCAACATCGGTGACACAGACAGTGCAGAAGATTTATTTGCAAGTATGCAGTCTGAGGGTCTATTTCCCAATGTTGTACACTACACAGTTCTAATCGGTAGTCTCTTTAAGAAAGATAAAGCAATCCAAGCTGCGTGCGTACTTTGAACATATGCTGCTTAACCACTGCTCTCCTAATGATGCTACAATGCATTATTATTTAGTTAATGGGCTCACAAACTGTAGGTATGGTATGATCAACTCAAACTGCAGTGATACTGATCAGGCTCATAAGAAGAGTGCCCTTTAGATGTATTCAAGGGATTGATTTCTGATGGATTGGACCAAGGATTTCGACATACAATGCTATAATCTTCAGCTTGTGTGTGACATAATATGCTTGGGAAGGCAATGGACCTGAAAGATAAGATGTCTAACAAAGGCTGCTTGCCAGACCCTATAACCTTTCTTTCACTTCTTTATGGATTTTCTTCTGTTGGAAAATCAGGGAAATGGAGGAGTGCCTTTACCTAATGATTTTCAGCAGGATGAATTTGAGATAATCTGCAAGCTTATGACATTATTCAATCAGCATGTAATTAGTCCAGTTAGAGATGAAGTCTCTAGGATTTTACAGCTATATGCTGAGGAGTTTCAGTTCTACAACAACCAGAGCAGAGATTTGCTGGATCTTGACTCAGTGTCGTGGTTTACCTGGCTCTTGGGATCAGGGGTGTAACTATAACTTGAATTTTGGCTTCAGCAACTGGATACCAAGCAGAACTGCAGAATAGCATGATTTAAATGCCAAGCAAAGTTGTTGATAGAGTGTTTCCTCAAGCACTCAATTTCAAGACTGGCAGTGCAATTAAAGGGCAGCCCCAGTGCATGTAGCTCTGGCCATGTGCAGGGTCAGGGGAAGGTCTGACCACTTGGGTCTTTTGTATGCAATCTTTCCCTGCATTTCTGCAAGAGGCTGTTTCCAGGACTTGAACCCGTGACCTCATGGTCACAAGGCAGCAGCTTTACCACTGCGCCAGTGCAATTAGCTAGACAAAATTTTCGCTGGAGATCGTCCTTGAAGGTAGCAATCACAATGTGCATAGTTTGTCTTTGGAGAACTTTTTGGTGCATTTTACAACCTCTTGTTTATTGCCAAATGTTGTGACAACTGAACTCTAGTAATGTTTGCCCACATTTTGTGACAAAATGAACCATAGTAAATTTGCTTGAAGGTGTGTTGAATTTTTCTTTTTAACAACAACCTGTTCATTTTCTGAAAAGAAATAACTTTCCAATCTGAGAGCCTCTTACCATATATTCACATTGGTTTTATTGGCTAATGTCATTGCAGCATATTTTTCATTATCTATGAGACTATGACTATAACTCATTATTTCATCTTCTCTGTTCATACCACTATATTTTGGATTGCTTATAACACACCAACTCATCAGCATTGATGCAGTACAGTGCAAGCAGCAGCGGAGCATCATTGAGATCAACACAGACCATGGCCACCCCTGCATATGAGTAATTTGGTGAGGAAACTAGTAATTTTAAAGCTTTTTGTTGGTGATAAATTGCAAGTGGCTATGTCTAACTTGGCTACTTCATCATTGGCCCTCGCCTTGTCTGAGATTTAAAGCAAGCTGTGCCACTGAATGCAAGTAGAGGAATGCCACATATAACATCGTACTACCTACAAGATTTAGAGGTTTCTGAGGAAGGAAAGACTGTAACACTGATCTTTTTACCCCAACCCAATGGTACAGAGACTAAAGTTGGCTTTCTTTTAGCTTGCCATAATTTGTCAACATTTTTTTTCTAATCGATTAAAATGTTATATAATTTTTTCTCTTGTATCTGGTTGTTGCCTTGTTGCTAAATTCATTTCTCAAGGGAAACTAGTTAACCTTTTTTTAAAAAAAAATCCTTTCAATGACTGTCACATGCATTGAGATGCAAAGTCACATAAGGATCTGTCATCAAAGGAATCATGGTCGCAACTGTTAAAGCTCAACAACACTGAAATGCCTTGATGAACAAAACCCTGAGCAACTATATATGCTGCCCTGCATTTGATTCCTGCTTATTTTTCCTCTTTATATTAGAAGGTACGCTAATTCTTGGATTTTTTTTTTCAGGTAAGCAAATTAAATGAGCCACTCCCTCATAACAACACAGTCAGAACAAGGCACGGCAGCACTGTTGAACTTTCCCAACCTATAATGTAGGACATTAGCCAAAATATAAGTTATTTGCATCTGCATATACTCCCTGTACATAGTTGCTGACCATACCATACTGAGCTACTGACCGTGTTAGCACAAGAGGCCGCATGACAAAAACTGTTCTACGGATTATCATCAGTAGAAGTAGGGAGCTATGTATCCCAAATATTCTGTTGATTTAGTACAAACCTGTCTATTGGAGACAAAAGGATCCTGACAAAATTAAGGCGTTTAAATACTTAAATTAAATGCAATTCTGATGTTTCTTCATTGCTGGCAACTTGAATCTTTACCACCGATGTAAGCATGTGCAATGCAATATTTGATATGTCTATTTGTCTATATATGTTGTGCAGTGGAATTTTTCCGGGATTACACATGTGCAGATGTGCGTATCATTATTGTTATTTCCAGAAAGATAGAAATATTTTCATTTGTAATTTATTTCCTCTTGAGAATAAGGCAGACACATCATTCTATTGGTTGTGTACCTGACCTTAAGATAATGTGAGTGCTAAAATGTTCCGAACAGTATGACTTCCATGGCCCATGGATAGGCACATATATACATGCCAAGCTGTTTTGAGTCTTTGTGCTTGTTGTTATTGTTGACCAAGGGCTTAGTTGGTTGACATTCAAAATTTGTCATACCAAAGATTTGACAAGCCAAAAGTTGGGCAAAAATACATGTCCAGATTTGGCAAATTCAAATGTAAAAGTTTAGTAAATTTTGATAGTCAACGGATATTGCTTCTAAAATCATGGTTTGTCAAATCATTAGCATGATAAATTTTGAAGCAAACTAATTAGACCTAAGATACGCCATACGATACGAGTATACGACGACCTTGCACTTACAGGATGAGGAGGTTTCGCGTTGACTTTGGCGTCGGGTAGATGAGAGTCAACAGTTGGAGGCGGCTCTTCACCCAGTTTTTCCCCCTCTCAGCTCAGGGTCAGTGATCGTCGCACGGCACGACGACGCCATCTCGCACTGTCGCACACAAGTTTGACCTCTGCTACTGCGCTGCTGCATGCATCCACGTCGTAGAATTGACCTCCGCTACTCTGCTGCATGCAGCCACGTAGATGTAGGGGTTGGTGGTGCCTTTATCCCCCGTACAGTACAACTGAGGCTGCCTGCCTGCGTTGCCTGCAGGGCTGCACACGGTTGCACCGTGCACGACTGTGCGTACACCAGAGGCCAGTAGACGACCGTGGACCAAGGCACGTAAGTGCGTCGTCCTCATCAAGTGAGTAGTGACGTGTCCTCATCCGACTATATTCCTCGTCTCGCACCGTTTGGATCGGCCAAGTACGTCAACCATTGCATGCAGCCTTCAATGCACCTATCTCCTGTATACATGCACGCATTTACGAGGACGCACGGATCGATGCATGGCGAGCTCGGCACCAACCACGGCATCTCCAAACCAGACCGGTTTCGGTTTGCAAGTGAAACCATGCAGGTTCAGTTCAGGCACGACGACGTTCCACGACACACACCACTATATAGACTGCCATTGCCTACACACTGCCGGCACCCACCACCATCGTCTTCATTCAGCTAGCTGTTGCACACTCACAAAGTCACAAGTCGATCTTTCGATCACAAAGCTTCACCACAAGTCACAAGTGTTAGCTAGCTAGCTCACTAGCTAGACAAGTCGAGAGCCAGCATGGACGTGCAGGTGCGGCGGAGCTTCGTGATACCCGCGCCGGCGTCGGAGCCATCGACGGAGGTGCCGCTGACGGTGTTCGACCTCGTGGCGCCCACCTACCACGTCACGGTGCTGTTCGCCTATGCCGCGCCCAACCCCACCAACGCGGCGCTCCTCGACGCGCTCGCCGCCACGCTCCCGCGCTTCCTGCTCCTCACCGCGCGCCTCGTCGCCGACGACGACCGCCGCCCGTTCTTCGTCTCGGGAAGGGCGGGGCGGGCGCGCTCGTGGTCGAGGCCACGGTGGCGTCCGCGCTCAGACCACCTCCCGCTCGCGCCCGCGCCGGAGCTCGCGAGCCTGCACGTGCCGGTCGGCGGCGGCGGCGATGGCGACGCGTTGTTGCCGCTGCACCTGCTCATGCTCCAGATCAACCGCTTCGCGTGCGGGGCCTCGTCATCGCCTCGTCCGCGCACCACCAGGCCGCCGACGGCTACCCATGTCCACCTTCTTCCACGAGTGGGCCGACGCCGTCCGCGCCAGCAACAACGGCGCGCTACTACTACTAAGCCACCACTCGACTACGTCGGCGGCGGTCTGCTACCACCGGCGCCGTACGGGCCGAGCGCCATCGTGCCGCGCCGCCCGCCGCGGTGCGAGTTCGAGCACCGCGGCACCGAGTTCCTGCGCCCGAGGACGCCGCCGCCGGCAGGCCCGCGCCGGTCCGGGTGGACCCTTCGGAGATCGCCAACGTGCTGCTGCACCTCCCGAGCGAGTTCGTGGCGGCGCTCAAGGAGAACGCCACCGCGCCGCAGATGAGCCGGCTGTATACGACCTTCGAGACCGTGTCCGCGCACCTGTGGCGGAAGATCACCGTGGCGCGCGGCCGGGCCGACGACGCGTCTGATGGCAGGAATCGATCACAAACACACAAGAATATCAGTGGCTAGCCTAATGAATCGAGCACAGATCAAATCGGGTGGAAGAATAGCAAGAACATGTGGTAACCGCCACCAGGACAACAGGGTGACTGCGCCCCTTTTCGCTCTCAACCACGACGAGTACAACACACAGATACAAGTGTCTGAGACTCTCACCAAGACCTCTCTTACATCAGGAGCATACATCAGCTCCTAACTCACACACTCACACAGAGAATAAAACTGCTAGACACGATACAAGACGCTCCAAAACACACTCTTCAGGCAACTGCATGTCAGTGGACGCGTGACCATGAACTGCCGTTCCGGCTTGACTTGGCACAATTCAAACTTGAATTCTCTCGCCTTTCTCCACCTTGCCTTCGACTGAATTAGGCTTTGAGCATCGACACCTTGCAGCAGGTTTACACTAACATTCTCCCCTTAAACTCATCAGCAAGAGCACCAAGATCTCGACACCTAACAAGTGCCTCATCACCACCAGGGCTTCCCCACCGGCAATGCCTTGGTCAAAGCATTAGCTTTTTGTTCATCAATCAAGTACTAACTCTCTTCACAATGATCTCAATTCTCCACACAATCGTCGATGAAATGATATTTGATATCAATGTGTTTACTCCTTCCATGAAACACCGGATTGTTCATCGAGCCCTTGCTGGTGTTGTCAACATAGAGAGATATCTTGCTTGGTTTTTCTTCGTTGATTTCACTCGCAGATTTCTCGACCATAGTGCTTGCCTTGCTTTGCAGTGAGGGGTATGCCATGAATTCTCTGCTTCACGGGATGATGAGCAGCAGTCTTACGCTTCCGGGAACACCAGCTCACCAAATTCTCACCTAGGTAGAAAGCCATTCCACCAATTAAGTAGTTCTCTCCACTTGGTGACTCCATGATCACTTGCTGTATCCCACCAACATCCTGTTCCACCACCTTGAACATACACCTGTCCAAACTTAGTGGTTCCTCTCGTATCTCATGATATGTTTGATCGGGCATTCTGCAACATCATTGGTTTTTCCATAAACTCGCTTAGCTAGCCCAATCGAGTATGACATATCGCACCTAGTATGCAGCGAGATACCTAAGACAGCCCAATCATCTTTACAGAATCTGTTGCATCAACCATCTTTCCTCCCTTGTCTGCATTCAGTTTGTTTCTAGGTTCCATTGGCAATTTACTAGCATTGCATTCTGCCATGCCAAACTGCCTCAACACCTTTCTAACATAGCATGTCTGTTTCAGAGTGATATGGTCATCTTTCTGACCAACTTCTATACCAAGATAGAATGAAAGAAGACCAAGATCGACATCTCAAACTCACTCATCATCTCGTTGCTTGAATAACTTGATATTTTCTGGATTCCCTCCCGTGACTATCAAGTCATCAACATATACACCCAACAACACTGCATCTATCCCATGCCCTCTAGTGTAAACTGCTTGTTCACTTAAACATCTCCTGAAGTTCAGCTTTTTCAGGCTTCTGTCTAACCTAACATTCCAAGCCCTTGGTGCTTGTTTAAGTCCATACAGTGCTTTGCTCAGTTTGAGTACACACTGTTCCTTCCCTTTCACAATGTATCCTTCAAAGTTGTGAAACATAGACTTCCTCCTCTAACTCACCATGTAAAAGGCTAACTTCACATCTAAGTGATGAACCTTCCATCCTTGATTAGTCTGCTAGAGCCAATAGTACCCTTTTATCAGATCTAATCTGTCCACAGTGCAAATACTTCTTCATAATCCACACCAAATTTTTTGCACATAGCCTTTAGCAACCAAACTGCTTTATGTTTCACCACTTCCCCATTTTTTTTTTTTAGTTTGAACACCCATTTCAAATCAATGGGCTTTTTCCTGCAGGTAGCTTGACTAGCTTCCAGTATTGTTCTTTTCTATGGAATGCATCTCCCTATCCATTGCATCAACCCAATCTTGATTGTCGGGCCATCTCTCAAAACAAGTTGGCTCTTCCATTTCAACTAGAAGTGCTTCAACATTTTCATCCATCAGCTCCACCTCATAGGAATCATTATAGACTTCATTTAGATCCCTAAACCTGATTGGGCCACTGTCCAAGTCAATGGTGTCATCTACATCCATCTTGTCGAGCCAAGGTCCGACAGATGTGGTGAATTGTGGAGTCATCGGCTCTCGCCTCATTGTCAATTTTCTTGAGACGTCACCGATCAAATGTCATCAAAGATTTCCATTCTCCAACTGTGAGATTCCTCTCCACCACTACTTGCTCCCCCTGTCTCACCGACATCCCGGAGCATCATGTCCATCACCAACACCACCATCAAGATGATTATAATCACCGTAGAAGAATTGACCATCCTTCTCATCTCTGCTTTCGTAAAAATTTTCATCATTAACAACTTCCCAGCTCCACTTCACTGTCTCCTCAAACACAACATCCCTGCTAACCACAATCTTGTTTGTTTTTGGATTGAACATTCTATGAGCTTTGCTGCCTTCTTCTATACCAAAATAGACCATTGGTATGCTTCTATCATCAAGTTTTTTAGATGTGTCCCCACAACTTTAACATGTCCTTTGTAACAAAAATTCTTACATGCCCTGCATGGGGGGGTTTCTTCCATTCCAACCCTCATATGGTGTTCTGCACCTATGGACTTTGTTGGAAGCCTGTTTAAGGTGCACAATGTATGCCTAATAGCTTCCGCCCAAAATATCCTAGGATTTCCATGCTCTTCAACAGGATCTAGCCATCTCCATCATAGACCTATTTCTTCCTCTCAACCACTCCATTTTGCTCATGGAGTGTAAGGTGTTGTAAACTGATGTTTGATCCCAGCCTGCTCACACACATTTTGGAAGGAACTAGCTAGAAATTCTCCACCTCTATCTGATCTAAGAATCTTGATCTCATGGCCGAAGTTCTTCTCTACCTGCCTCGAACTTGATGAAAGCATCAACAACTGATCCTTTGACTTCTATGTACAATCGTAGTCCATCTAGTGTAGTCATCCACTAGAAGCATGAAATATTGTTGCACACTAATATGGATGGAGTAATGGGCCCACAAAGATCTACATGCACAAGCTGAAGTGGTTCATCTGCTTTCCACAACACTGACCTTGGAAAAGGCTTCCTGGTTTGTTTGGCTGTCAGACAAGACTGACAGACCTGATCTGGATGTTGAATCAGTGGCACACCCCCAACCATATCCTTGTCAAGAATTTGCTTCAATGCATGAAAATTAACATGACCAAGACGACCATGCCATAACCAAGCATCATCACTAGTATGACTCAAAAAACAGGTTGGCTCTACTGACACTAACTCAATTTTATACAATCTGTTTCCTGTTCTCTGAACTTTCATGATCAATCTCCATGGGTTTTTCTCTGACACCTCAATGACATCCTCATCCATCACTACCCGGTGCCCAATTTTAGTTAGTTGACCCAAACTAATCAAATTGCTTTTTAACTTAGGAATGTAGTAAACATCTCTAAGCACCCATTGATCACCTGTCCTCCCTTGAAACAAAATTGAGCCCTTTCCCATTATCTCTACTGATGAGCCATCACCAAACCGTACCTTGCCAGTAGCAGTCTGGTCCATGTCCCTGAACTTGTGGCGATCTCCAGTCATGTGATTGTCAACCATTGTCCGTGTACCGGACATCGTTCATGACCTCCCCTCACGACAAAGTACACTCCCAAGAACACCTTCTTCTCCTCCAAGATCACTTCTATATGTAGGTTAGTGTACAAGATGTGCTCGAGCGGTCCCTCGCCTCTCGCTTCATGAGCAACAACACTGCGCTTCCCATCGCCATCGTCCTCGCATGGTGCGCCTCCTCGTCCTTTTTCTTCTCACCGGGACATCGGTTGGCATAGTGCCCATAGCAATGGCACTTAAAGCACTTGATATGACTTTTTGTCACGTTTCTCTGTGCTTTTCCTTCCCGCAGATCGCCAGCGCTCACCACGACCTCCCGGCCGCCACCACGACCAAGGCGTCCACGACCTCGGCCGCCATTGCCCGGAGACCTCCCGCCTCTAGAACCTTCTCCACTCGACTTCTTCTCCGGCGTGCCTCCCACTCACCTTGAGTGAGTAACGCCTACCCGTCACCGTGAGCACAACCCACCAGCTCCCCGCTTCGGTTCCGCTCCTCGAACGCCTTGATCGCCAACAGCTTTCGCTCGACGCCAAAGTTTTGAGATCATAGAACTGTTTCGATCCCGCTCTATGACATGGATGAATCTGTCGAGCACGGTGTCGAACAGCTTCTTCACCATGGCTGAGTCCTCCAATGTCCCGCCTAGATTCCCGTACTTGACTGACATAGCCGTCAGTTTTCCGGTGAACTCATCGACAGTCTCCTCCTCCTTCATCTTCAGCGCATCAAACTATGCCTTGAGGGTCTGCAGGCGCGCGTCCTTGACACGCTCAGCGCCCACAAACCTCGCATTCAGAGAGTCCCACACTTCCTTCCCCGTCTTCTTCTTCGCCACTTGCATCAAATGACTCATCCGGCGACAGTAATCGGAAGAGATCGCTCGCACCTTCTTATCCTTCGCCGTCAAGGCCTCCGTCTGGGCTCCGGCGAATTCCTCCCATGCGGCTCCATCACTTCCCACCACCCCCTGCTCCTCCATGATCGCTCGCACCCGGATACTCCAAACCGGTGTAGTTGGTCGTTTGATTAGCGTTAGAACACTATGCCGGTGCCCACCATCGCCGCGCTCCCCGACCTCCATCAAGAATCGCTGTGACATGGCGGTTTTCTCGGTGGATCTTGCGTGTTTTTACTGGCTCGATACCAAATGATGGCAGAATCGATCACAAACACACAAGAATATCAGTGGCTAGCCTAATGAATCGAAAGCACAGATCAA